TCCCAAAGTGCTGGGATTACAGGCATGAACCAACACACACAGCCCAGAATTTTTTTTTTTCAAAAGCAGAAGAAAACATTTTTGTCAAAAGTAAATGATAAAATAAAGCTCAAGAGAATTTTTAGAGTTATAGGTATGTTCTAAAACTGGATTATGGATATACAACTGTCCACATTTACTAAAACTTATCAAACCATACACTTAAAATGGGTGAATTCTATGGTATGTAAAACAGCTCAATAACGTTTAATTTTTAAGTCAAAAAAAAAAAGGAAGAAATAACGTAACCCAAATCTCTTACTAATGGAGGTCTTGTGGAAAGTAATATGAAATTATTTGGATCTGCTATTTCAAAATATCTGGCACTTGAAGCTTTGTTGTTAGTTATTTTTTAATCTGTTGGTTTATTTGGTATAAACCAAGCCCAAATAAGTGCCATGGTCTTACAGAGTTTAATCTTTGTATCTTCACACAGGAAAATGTGTGTCTCAAAGATAATCACCTTTAAGGTCTCCCATCAGTAACTGTGGTCACCAGTAAGAGAACAGACAGAAGGAAAGTAAATGGAGTAAGGCAGGGCATGTGCAGGCACCAAGATGAGCCAAACTAGGCAGGTCTAGTAGATTCTCATAAAACGGTGCCTCTCTCTACACAGCTGTCCCGTGTTTTGAATTTTACAAAACAAGCTATTTAGAGTCATCCCTCATCTTTGTTAATCTGTTTTATTGTTTAGAACTGGCTTTGCTTGCCTGCCATGTGATAAAATTCAGTAAATCTTGTTCAATTAGTGCCACATTTACTCAATGTACTTGGACACAGGTGAAGAAGGCATTTAAAAGAACCCTTTTCTGGGGGTGTGGGGGTGTGGTGGGGCTCATGTATGTAATCCCAATTCTTTGGGAAGCTGAGGAAGGATTACTTGAGCCCAGGAGTTTGAGACCAGCCTGGATGACACAGTGAGACCCTGTCTCTACCAAAAAAAAAAAAAAAAAAAAAAAAAATTAGCCAGGTATGGCGACTTGCCCGCGTAGTCTCAGTTTCTTGGGAGCTGAGACTGGCAGGATTACTTGAGCCTGGGAGGCTGAGACTGCAGTGAGCTATGATCCTGCTACTGCACTCCAGCCTGGGTGACAGAGTGTTCTGGTATTACTCCTTAGTTACATTACTATATTCCAAACCAAGAATTAATATGGGCTGGGTGCAGTGGCTCATGCCTGCAATCCTAGCACTTTCGGAGGCCAAGGCAGGAGGATCACTTGAGCTCAGGAGTTTGAGACCAGCCTAAGCAAAATAGTGAGACCTTGTCTCTATTAAAAAAAAAAAATACACACACACATAATTTTAAAAATATCAAAAGACTTGTTCTTAAATGTTAAACGAGTAAAGTACTGAATGTAGTGTTTCTTGATCCTGCAAAAAAAAAAATTCTGCTACACTTTTATTCATAAATATTGTGTTCTGGTAAGAGTATAGATTATATAAAGCAGTTGAAGCAATTATTTTGCTAAAGTAGCTTGTATCTGACCCTGTGGGTGTTTGCCTGTGTGCTTCTGTGAAGGTGAGGTCCAGCAGAAAAAGTCATTGTATGCAAATAAATGTCTAGTCCTTTATCAGATGATGACAAGGGCTGGGAAGGGAAACAATTAAAAATATGAACCCCTTCTGCCTGGAAACCATCAGTCACAAAGATTCCCACTGAAGAGAGAAAGACACACCTATCTGCCTTCACTCTCTCAATATACGTACAAAGAAAGAAGCCAAATAAGATGTGGGAAGATGAAGATGTACTCAAGGCTTGGCCTCTGACAGGCAGAGTAGCCAGAAAAGGTGACGCCCAGTGAGCAAAGGAACCTGATGGAGACAAAAGCCTTCTGTGATACAAGCTGGCTGAGAGTATACCAGTACAGTCTTTATCCCTGGGATAGTGACTTAAGAACTTTGAGACCTGAACCTTCAGTTCTTATGTTTAACAGGATTACTGCTGCAAGACTTTTCCCCCCAGAGGGCCTGCTCCCTTTGTCTAGAGATAAGAACAAAGTTAAATTAAGTAGTTTGTGGTGGCCTGAATTATACTGTGGACAGGTCAAGATGCCTATTTCCTGACATCCACTGAATTTACCTTTCTTCCCCAATGTTCCCTGTCCCTGTCTTTCCCCACCACCCGCTGTGCACAATTCTTCTGGACTCCACTGCTCCAGGTGCCTTTTACACACACGAACTCATTTAATCCTCACAAGCCTACAGCAAGGTATGATTATTTCGGTCTTTCACAGGTGAAGTGTATGTCATGCGTAAGCATGCTACTATTCTACTGCTACTGCCTACTCTACTGTTGAATTCATACTACTTTGGTACTGAAAAGCCACAAACTAGGGACATTCTCTCTTATAGTTCTTTTGTTTTTGTTTTTTTTGGAGACAGTCGCGCTCTGTCACCCAGGCTAGAGTGCAATGGCGGGATCTTGGCTCACTGCAACCTCTGCCTCCCGGGTTCAACCAATTCTCCTGCCTCAGTCTCTCAAACAGCTGGGATTACAGGTGCCCACCACCACACACAGCTAATTTTTTTTTTTTTTGTATCTTTAGAAGAGATGGGGTTTCACCATGTTGGCAGCCTGGTCTCAAACCCCTGACCTCAGGTGATCTACCCACCTTGGCCTCCCAAAGTGCTGGGATTACAGGCATGAGCCACCATGCACAGCCTCTTGTAGCTCATGTAAACAACAACAACAACAACAACAACAAAACCCAAGGACAACAGTCAAAACAATCTCACATTCCTCCCACCCTTTCTGTCTCAGGTAAGCTTACCTTGTAAAAACTCTACCTATGAGTATTTGCCTTAGAGACAGACTGAAAGGAGGATGCGCTGCTATCCCACGCCAAGGGCCTGGGTTATTTCTGTTATACTGGACTTCCCCAAACCCCTAAAGAGTTCAAATATTGTATTGTGCTACTTTAACCCACCCCTTCCCTTAGATGCTTGGGATGGGTGTGAGACCTACACTGTCTGAGCTATAATGAGGGAGAAAGTGGGTATGGCCCTTTCCACAGCACCAAGGCTCTTCTCCACCCACCTTTTTCATAGTCTTAGGGTGTGACAGGATTTAGGGGATTAAAAGGGAAGTCCAGCAAAGGCGCCTGCTTTTCCATTCCTCCTCCTGTGAGGTGTGCATCACGTTAGGTCTTGGAAAAGGACTCCTCTTTTACATGCCTGGATTAGCAGGATCTGCTCAGAAGATTTAATGTGAGGGCAGATTTTCCAAGGAGAGGCCACCCTGTCTTCCACATGAGGAGGGTGTTCCCTGGCAGAGGGGTCTGATTCTTGACAGGAGAGTGACTAGGAAGAGGATGCTATCTGATGGTCCTATCTTAAAAGACAAGAAAAATAAAAAGTCTTGTGTCTTCTTATCCTTTATTCAACAAATGCATTTCCCCAAATATATGTGAAGGCTTAAAACTAGTGTCGCATGGACTTTCTACACCTTAGACTTTCTTTACAGTTTGGATTGCCCCATGGTTATTACCTTTATCACATCTAAGTAAGAGACGGTCTCATAATATATTTTCATCCAAGATTTGAAATCAGCATTAAGAAAACCAAAATCAAATGAATTGGGGGACACAGAACTATATAAGAGAATTAAGACTTTAACTTAGATTACTACAAAGACTCTATAAAGGATGTAAATAAGGGATAATAAGGACTGTTTATCTCCTCACACCTAAAAGAGGTGAGGTCTGTAGAGACATTCCCAAAAAAACAGTGGGAAAGAAGGAAAGCAGGCCAGCCAGCCATAGTCCCAGGGGCTACCAGCTCAGGTTCTTACCTCCAGTTGCAACCAGCCCACCAAGCTGCACCAGAGAATAAGCCTGAGACAAAAGGAACCAACTGGAGTCCTACCTCCTCTCTCTCTGGCTGTGTTGTTAACAAGCCGCAACAGGCAAAGAAAGGCCATGGCAGCTAGAAAGAATGTTCCCAATGGCCCCTGACAATAATCTCCCCCTTGGACAGCCACAATGTACCTGGTCACCTCTCTCTGGAACCCAAGGCATTTAACAGACAATGCCATGTTTCTCTCTCTCTCTTTTTTTTTTGTTTGTTTTTTTTTGAGACAGAGTCTTGCTCCGTCGCCCAGGCTGGAGTGCAGATCTCAGCTCACTGCAAGCTCCGCCTCCCGGGTTCACGCCATTCTCCTGCCTCAGCCTCCCGAGTAGCTGGGACCACAGGCGCCGCCACCTCGCCCGGCTAATTTTTTGTGTTTTTAGTAGAGACGGGGTTTCGCTGTGTTAGCCAGGATGGTCTCGATCTCCTGACCTTGTGATCCGCCCGTCTCGGCCTCCCAAAGTGCTGGGATTACAGGCTTGAGCCACCGCGCCCGGCCGATGCCCCTATTTCTTACACAACTCTTTGGATACAGCTGGTCTCTGAGTACCTGTTGTCACGGACCTCTGGAAAGGCCTACTGTGATTTTTATACACACAAGAACGGAAGAAACAGAAACAGACCATGATTTCAGCCAAAATAAGGCCCAAAACAAAAGTTCAGAGTTAAGAGAAGGAAATAATAGTTAGAGATTAAAGTTTGTGAAAGTGAGAATGTTTGGGGAGACAGAAAAGTAACAGAAGAATACAAAGCTCAATGATCCTTAATCTTGCCAGCCATCCTTATGTATACAAAACCACAAAGCTGGGAGAAAAAGGCAAAGAAGGACCAATGCTCACAGCCTCGGGGCTGGTCCATTACACAAAGAAGGAAAATGGCCACCCTTCTGCCAAATAAACCTGTATGGTCATCAAAAAGTGAGTGACTGAATGAATGAACTCACTGAACTGAAGTATTTCTATGGAGTTACATAGCATTCCTTCCAGTAGTCCCCAAACACCACCCCAATTTAAATTCAGCAGTATTTGCAAAGTCTCATCATCAAAGCGTCCAGGGACAATATGCCAAAAGATAATACGCCAGAGGAAAAGCCCCCAGCCCTAAGCTCCCTTTACCTTTCTGGAAGATGTTCTGTCTCAGGTTTCTTCATTTACAATCAGTGTTCTGAGGTGTTGTGAATTCCAGCTGCTGTTTTCTAGCACCCAAGTAACATCTAGCATGTTCCTCAGAGAACACGCAGCTCCAGCACGTGTGTGATGCTCGGGCCCACTGGGATCCCTTACCGGATAGGGTCATAGGTAAGAATCATTGCTCTTATGATGCGATGCCGCTATTTCCCCTCACACTGCCAAACGGCTGTCCCTGGGGCAGATTTGGAAGCGTGTAAAGTGTGGTGTTAATGGAAAAATCCGGTGGCAAAGGGCATCAGTGTTTTGCAATTAATTTTTTTTTCCTGTAAGCTTCATTGTTGAAATAGTTTGACATGCAAATCATCCCTCCCTCCCGACCAGTGTACAGACTTCCAGGTCTCCACCCTAGTGTGTTCTAAAAATCAGTGTATCATCAGGCTGATTCACCACTTGAAGAGGTGGGACACCGGTTGGGTTACGTGCTGCATAAGCTCAGCAAGTACTTCTGCCTCCTCTGCCAGGTCACAAGAAGACAAACCAGTCTTTGTCGCATAGCTGAGGGGAACATGCCAAACGGGTTGCCCCAAAAAACATATTCACAGTGCGTCCCTGAGTTGAATAAAGCATCCCACTCAATCCACCTAAAAACGCTGAGGGAAAAATAAATAAATCAGCTGCACTGTGTTGGGTATGCGGACTTACGTGAGGGGGATACTGAGAAAAGAGGAAGAGAGAACTTTTTTTCTGGTTTTAGTTAGGAAAAAGTAAGAGCTGATGCACGCGAGTAGGGTTTTTAAGATATTAAGCACTGGGCATATAAGTTACTGGAAATACCCCATCTCTCTCTTTTATGTTTTTAGTTGGGAATATTCTTCCCCCTTTCTTCCTGGAGAGTCTTAAATGTACCTGCTGTACAGAAATACTTCAATCGCCTTGGCCTAATGGACAGTTGATGCAAATGGAAAAGGCACTCAGTAAATTGGGCAGGGATGGGAAAACTGGGCAGGACAAGCTGAATCAATGTTTTCACAAAATTATTTGCAAAGCGGATGGATGGGATTTATCAACTAAACCAAATATTGTGAGACTAAATTCAGAAAGCCACACAGCTATCTTTTGATTCTACCTAACAGAGATCATGTCCAAAGTATAAAAGATCCCTAAGGGAAAACTTTTCCAATGGAATAAAATCATGAAAAAGGAAATAAAATAAACTCGGTACTAGTAACTGTTAGTAGCAAATTGTTTCCATAAATGGTTACTCTAGTACTACCTCCTTTAAGTAAAGGTTTGTATGGTGAAATTCCAATTCCACAACCTCTAATCCAGTTGGGAGGGAAAGCAGGGATCAGGCAAATCTGGCCATAAACAAGGTAAGAGTACAAAGATTTAACTTTCAGGATAAGAACAAATCCCACAAATCCAACAATTTGTCCCTTAACACAGCTCTCCCTTATGTCTGTAGTTCTGTTTTTCTATCTGTTGATTAGAATGGCCTTCTCATTTTTATAGAATATTATTTAATCTGAGTTTCAGCCATGGCTTGCTTTAACTAGGACAAGAAATCTGGTCACTATATATATTTTTAAATCTCAAAATAGCAGCATACTTATTTTTAAGTGGTGAGATAACTCATCATATAGACCTACCAGCTGAGATGACTAATGCTATACGTACAAACGGGCTGCATTTCAAAAACTTGTGTTTTCAGGATTCATAATGAACAGCAGCCCAAAAGCAGAACCAGGCTTAGCCTGTAAAACATGAGCATACTTTTCCTAAAGCATGTGGAAGTGAGTAACTCAGTTAAGGCTCATTCCAGAAATATCCAACAGAGAAGCCAAGGAAGGAAAAAGAAAATAGTCTGCTTTTGGTTTTTTGAACTTAGAATTTCTACAACTGTTTGAATGAATCTTATAAAATCTGATTTCCTAGATGGGTCTTCTAAAAGGTTTTATTAGAGAAGTCTACCCAATGCAATTAAATTTTTTTTGCCAGGAAGGAGCAAGAACTTATCGTTTCTGTGACTTTGAGAATTATGATAATATTTTTCATGCCAGATCAAATCAAACCACCTTTTATAGAAAAGGAGCCAAAGCAGTGGCTGTGAGCTTTAGTCACAATCGTTTTCCTCCAAGCCCATACAAACCTTTCTCAGAAACTGCACAAAAGAGATGAACTGAAATTATCCCAGCCACAGGAAGAAGGCAAACCCTGGAAAAGGAAGCGAACCAGCTATACCTTTGATGGGTTCAGCGAGCCCACCCAAGTCATTCAAGAAAGAGGGGAAGTGCATAATCAGAAATAAATGCCAATACTCACAATGGGAAGTCTGCTGAGGAAGAGCAGAGCACAGAGTTTTCAAATCCTTGTAGGAAGGGCCGTTTTAATCCTTTGACTGGCTACCCAGTCTCTTAGAATAATAGCAACAGCTCGAGTCCTTAACACAGCGAATCTCCCTGTTGGGTATTTATTTTGTGTGTGTGGTTTTTTTTTTTTTCCTTGTTGGCACCTATAAAGTTGGTACTGGACAAAAATCCCCAACCAAAGGGTTTCTTTGCTCAGTACCCAGGAGCAGGAGCACAGATTTTCTCCTTCCTACACTCAAATAGGCTGGTACTCACTGGAAGATAAATCATCCTTCCTTGGCTTAGCTTGAGAGCTAATCGCCTGTCTGAAATCTGATGCTTAAGCCATTATGATTGGCTCAAGGCTTGGAGCAAGAAAGCTTATAAGGTGAAGCTGGCTACAGGTTAAAACAAAGCCTTACGAGTTTATAAAACAAGCAAGCTCTGATGAGCGAGGGGCTTTTCCAAACCTCTCCGGGGAGTGGGTGAATTCTGGGGTTCTGATTAACCGACAAGCAAGACTTCGAAACCCAGGGTGTCCCCTATTTGTAGGTGCTCCCAGCATTTTAAGAGTTATGAAATTGAAATCTAAGAAGTAGTTACATTATCTTCTCAAACACCACCACTATAAGAAAATTATTTCATCTATAAACTTCAGTGTGAAATTAGCCTTCAAAAGACTAATAACTAGTTTCACTGAAAGTTGAAATGCATAATCTAATTAAATGCAATTATTAAACACACTAATACTAGGATGAAGCTGTATAATGCAATAAATAAAGGAATTAGAATATGTTTATTAATTTGAAATAATCCACACTAAGAAAAAAAATAACTTACCAACGTAATCTCTGTCAGGGAGGACGTTTTATTTTCAACCACTATACTTTAGGGTTTTATGCAGTTTTCTGAAATATATACTTTTCCCTTCATCTGTTTAATCAGAACTTCACAGATATCACACTTCTGATTTTAAATGTCAACATAATAAAGAACCTTGGACAAAGGAAAAACGTTCTACATGTCTAATTTCTGGCTTAGTCATTAGCTGTGTGAGCTCAGCAAGTTGTGTTTTGTCATCTGAGAGTATGGAAGGAAGCCTGGACAACTGAAATGAAAAGACGCCCTTTTAGTTCTTACCTACAAGCTTATGGTAGGCTCCTACCTATGTGTTTATGTTTTACCCTCTCAGCTACTCTAATAGTATCCAACACACTACTTATGGGAGAATACAAAGCACAAATAAGAACATACGTTTTAATCCTTCTGCAAATTCATTCAACTAGGAGACCCTGAAAAGTCACGGAGGGTACCCATGAATTAAAGCAGCCACAGTTTCTAATCAGCGAACCCTCTGCCTTCGGGGTAATGCTAACACAGATGACAGGTCTAAGACTCACCACTATGGGTACACCGCCTCTGCTGTGCTGTGTCTTTCCTTACAGATGGTCTCAGAAAACACCAGGTTGGTTTCAGCCAGACCAGTCAGTGCAAACTAGTCTTATACTCGACAAACAGCACATAATTCCTGCTGTCAGGTTCACCGCAGTGGGCTCAGAGTTCTGTTTGAGAAACGCTCCTGCCCAGAAAAATATTTACACAAGTGAGAGTGGGGTGCACCGCACTGCAGCATTCTGCCTACCCTGCCATGAGTCTGGCTCTGTCTGATTGACCCGGTCTTATCAGTGGCCTTTGTACTCATTTGAGATCAGCATAGAGACAAAAGCTGGAGCCAAATAACTGACCAAGATAACAAGATTCAAGCCCCACAACAGTTACTAAAGCCATGAAAACACTGTGCCCTTTAACTCAGTCATCCTGCTTCTTTGAAATTGTTGGGAAATAATAAAAAAGAAGGAGAAAAAAGACCAGGCAAGATGTTCTCTGCAACATCAGTTACCATAGGGAAAATCTGGAAGCAGTCCAAACATCCAAACAAAAAAAGAATAATTCAACTGCTAGAAACACCATAAGGAATATTATACAGTCATCGAAAATAATAATTTGAAAATTGTTTTCTATGAAGACTTGGAAAAATGCAAAGAATGTTAAAGTCAAGAGTTGATACCCAAATCTATAAAAGCTTATTGAAACTGCATTTAAGTTTGTTAGCCTGAAAAGGTTGAAAAAGGAATACTAAAAATAAGATGTAGTGTGGAATTTTGAGTAATTCTTCTCTTCTGGTTTCCTATCAAATTTTATGTTATCATTAATTTAAATAATTTTTTTTTTTTTTGAGATGGAGTCTCACTCTGTCACACAGGCTGGAGTGCAGTGGTACCATGTCAGGTCACTGCAACCTCCGTCTTCTGGGTTCAAGCAATTCTCCTGCCTCAGCTTTCCAAGTAGCTGGAATTACAGGCGCCCACTACCACGCCCGGCTAGTTTTTATATTTTTAGTAGAGACGGATTTTCACCATGTTGGCCAGGCTGGTCTCGAGCTCCTGACCTCAGGTGATCTACCTGCTTCGGCCTCCCAAAGTGCTGGGATTACAGGCATGAGCCACTGTGCCCGGCCTAAATAACATTTTAATGCAATTCAATAAGCATCTTTAATAAATAAATATGTATTTGTCTGAAACAATATATATCCAGGCTGTAAAAAAAGGAATAGCATAAGGCAAAAGCTATAATAAATTGGGGAAGGCAACTATTAGCAAAAATAAAGGCGATGAGAGCAGGCATAAAAAGTCACCTCCCAGTGCTCATCCATTATGTCATTTAACTGGGTTTAATGAGGATGTTAATACAACTCTGGCCCCGATATCATGGCGTCCAGCAGGGCCTGACAGGAGGGTACCTGGGGTGTTTCCTGATCAGCAGCTCGTGACAGGGACAAGAGAACAAGGGGAATGGTGCTATCCCCTGATATCTGACCAGCATTTTATGTTTTAAAAAGTGTTTTTACAACTATTGTTTTATTTTTTCCCCTCACAACCACCTTGTGAAGAAGGTAGGATGGCTATTATTATCTTTCTTTCACAAATAAGCCACTTGTTATTTGGCTTTTAAAGCACATCTAAGCTCTAATTAAAGTTTCACAACATTAATTAGTGTTTAGAGAGGTATCAATCAGTGCATCCAATTTACAACATGATTCAAAAACTTGGGGAAAAAGCAGACTGCCTCATCCCCACACCCCAAAGAGATACGGCTATTTTCCTAACCAACGATCACCATTTACTTCCTAGCTGGCTATGAGAGAACAGTCAAGAGCAATTTATGATGCTCTTATCTCCTTAACAAAAGACATTAGAGTACTGTTAGCAGTACCATAATAACATGTTTTTTGTTTTTTGCTTTAGAGGTAGGGTCTGGCTCTCTCACCCAGGCTGGAGTGCAGTAGTACCATCATAACTCATTGCAGCCTCAAACTCCTGGG